ACTTGGGCAGATGGCTCTCTCTAGACGAGGAAACGCTGAGGCCCGGCTGGGTTGAGCCGAGGCCTGAAGCCATCAGATCAGGTTTAAGGCTTAGGGCCTTAGGGATTAGGGTGTTGTTCAGGGTTCAGGGTTTACCCATAGGCTCCTTAGTAGTTCCTTTTTGGGATTACCTTATTATGAACCAGAAAAAGGAACTACTTAGGAGCCTATGGCTAGGCTGCGGGATCCTAGAAGACGTGGGTTCTTTTCAGGCGCGATATGTTCAACGGCCGGAGATCTGGTCGTTTGCCATGGCAGCTGTCAGCAACCGGACATGAGGGAGTTTCCGAAAATTAGGGTACCTTCTTTGGGGTCCTTATAATAAGGATCCTACTATTTAGGTTAGGGTACTATATTAGGGTCCCCTATTTTCGGAAACCCCCATGAGTCAAGGCAGCATCATCCGCAGCCAGGCGATCGAGGGCCCCCTTTTCGGCGGCCTAGCCTCTAGACGTCTCGCGCAAAGCAACCGCACATGGAACGATAGAGGGCCTTCCCCACTCCATCGATGGGCATCTCTTCCACGACGGGAAGCTCGCTCACGGGCGTCTCTAACTTGCTAGACACCGCCTTCCAGACATCGCCTGGAGTCGGACGGTAGCTCGCAAACCCAAACTCCGACGAGTCCTTAGCCGAACGCAGGGCTTAGAGTCTGGAGTTGCCGGTAGATCAGGGACAAAGCCCCCAAAAAACAACAGAAGAAACTAAAACCCTCAACCCTAAACCCTAAACCCTAAAACCCTAAACCCTAAAACCCTCAGCCCTAAACCCCAAAAGGGATGATACCCGCAGGACAGAAGGCAGGGGCCACGGCCCAGCTGTAGAGCACTGCTCGATCCGAACGGCGCATAAAGAGAAGAGCGGGCTGCACCATGCCATTGGGGTAGTTCTTCTTCTCGCCTTAGCAATTTGAGGATGGTTTTTGGGTTTAGGGTTTAGGGTTTAGGGATTAAGGTTTTTGCTGAGTTGCCTGGCCCAAAGAAGACTAACATTTCTAATCATGATAGGACTTTGTAAACCTAATTACGGCCATCATGGTAGGAGTATACAAACCCTGAAAGTTAAGGGTCACCTATGCAGCTGCCAAGTCGCTGATGACCAGGTTGATGATCTTCTCATCGGCGAGATGCTTCACCAGAGACACGTCCGGCGAACCGATGATGTCGTAGGAAATGCCCCACTCCTCTTTTGCCGCGTCAGCTTCGGATTGAGGCTGCGAGGTCAGTCCATAAATGGCGAAACCCTTGGAAGCCATGTTGGGCTTCAGCTTCTCCAGATCCTGCGTGTAAAACTTGCAGAAGGGTCACCACTTCCCCCGATACCACACCAGGCACAAGTACCTGGACTGCGGCTTGCAAGCAACGGAGCCTTGAAGGAGGGGGCTCCACACTACGACGAAGATGAAATACTCTGAGCCCTAAACCTTACATACCCTAAGCCCTAAATAGCCCTAAATACGCCACAGTAAGCCCGGAAAACCCTAAACCCTAAGTACCCTCAACCCTAAATATCCTACCCCCTCCCCCCCCCAAAAAAAAAAAAGAAAGGGACAAAAA